GATATGAAGAGCTGTGAGCTCTGAGTGCTAAGAGCTAAAAGGCTGTGTTGTTTTTCTGGGGAGCTCATTAGAAGATGACGTCACGGCTCCGCCTACACTGCGTTACTATAGATACAACCCCAACCCCAGTTCCTCACGAGTCTAAAAAACAACTCACGTCAACACACGTAAGCAACGTGGGCGCCAACGTGAGCGCTCTCGTGACCAAAATATTTAACGGCGCTGATTGGCTGAAATTATGTTTCGGCGGCATAGTTTACTATTGAGACTTTTGCAGCGTGCTGGTTGCTGCTGTTTGGCTCGGGGGCAGCGCCCCGTAATGATAAACTAATGCCAAGGGCAGGCAGGAAACATGTGACTTATCAGTAACTTTAGACATCGTAACACAATTTTAAACAAGATTTTATTGTAGATTATACATTTTACTGATACCAATTGTATGATTTACCTTTACCTTGTTCATTAAAAATTAAAAATATAAAATATATATATTTGAAATATATATTTTTTTAAATATTTTTTTTTTTTAAATATTTTTTTTTAAATATTTTTTTTTGTATGTGGGAAGAGGTGGGGCGGCGCCCCTAGCGCCCCTATGGGCCGGCCGCCACTGCTGGGGTCATAATCCCCTGACACAAAAACTGATAACTGAAAGATCTTGGGATCTTTTAGCATTTATTTTCTCAGTATATAGCTTAAAATCATGATTAATATAAATATTAAATTACTTTGATTATATTTTGTATCCATTTCTATTTGCACGTCTTATAAAATCATTCAAAAGCACCTAGATTTCAGATGTTCGCTGTACTGGGACACACAACTGAGAGTATTTGTCATGTTTGCTCAATGGAAGGTTGTTGATTAACCTTCCTAGTTTGATTAACTGACTGATTTATGTAAATGTTAACCTTAAGAATATTACAATTCTAAAGTGAAGTGCCCCTGTAACACTGAACTTTGACCCCTTTGTGGCCCGGTTTGAGCTTTCTATTCTATTCTTCTCTTATACTGAACTAAAAGTGCTGTACTCTTGGACATTGTCTTGTTCTCCTTTGTCCCCCATTGAGTGTGCCCCTCACACAAAACTTTTTTTTTTAAATGATGCAGGCTTCTGTAGCTCTCCTCTGACCTGGGCTCCTCACACCAGGCCTTCTTCACCAGGAACCCGACGAAGGACAGGAAGAGGAAGCCGCAGAGGGCCATGATGCCGGTGAGCCACTGAGGCAGCGCTCGATCACTCTGAGCTGCACAGAGACACAGGTCAGAGGTCAGCATAACTCTATAAACCATTACCTCCAAGACATGCCTGCACAACCCAAGTGATAATAGTGAAGTCAAAAGTAAAATGTTCCCACTAAAATGTAGGGAAATAGATTTACTAAAAATAATAAAATACCACTAGCACACATTTGAAATGAAGTGCAGTACATTAATCAGTGTTGGGTTTAATAAGAGACGACTAACTCGTTTCATAACGTGTGTCTTCTTTATATAACCCCAATAATGATATTAACAGTAAATAAAAACTGCTTCCTTGTACACTTATCTATATAAGCAAAACTTCAACCAACTTGTCACTAATATTGTAGAGCTGAAACATTGATCAAAAGCAATATGGTAATACTATCTGTTCATTGTTATAGTATTTTCTCTGGTACACATGCCGAACATTGCCGGTGTTTTCTCCTGAAAGACTATTTCTCTCTTGCTTGATATTCAGTGGTGAGGAGTACTCAAGAGCAGTACTACTTAAAGGTATTTTCATCTACTCTCTATTTCTACTAGATTCTTAATTTACTCAAATCAAAAACATATAATCAACACGATGATGGCATATTATTCTAGTGCAGATGAGGCTACACATATGCAGTCCCAATGCTCCACCTTTAGCTGCAACCTTTTGAAAGACAGTATGAATGAGCATAGTGAGTAATTTTATATATTTTAACTGAAGTAAAAATATTTGAGTACTTCTTCCACCACTTATTGATAAACTAACATATATTTTTCAATTTCAGTACATTCTGAAGTTTATATATAAATGTGTTCATAAGAAAACAAGCAAATTGATTGCTATTGGCATGTCTGAAACACTCAGTGACACGGCTATATTCTATTCCTTTCACAATGTGAGAACTGGTGTGACTAAGTTAAAGAGCTATCTGTGTCTTCATTGTTATTGTCAGTAAATGTGGAACAGTACCTGTCTGGGCCGCCACCGCTGCCACGCTCAGCAGCAGACAGCAAACCGCCGCACACACTTTCCCCATGGCTGGTCCTTTGGCTCTGACTGAAGAAAAACAGAGTTATAAAGAAAGGAAAACAAAGCTAAACCTGAAGCTTCAGACGGTGTTAAGCCTTCAAACCCGAGTGTGGACAGCAGAGTAGATCACTGCTCAGGTGTTCTGTTACTGTTTAACAGCCTTTATCTGCTCTGTGTGTATGGCCTATGTCTCTGTTTCCTCTCAGACACTTAGAAGTCAATAACCTACAGATTAGTTTCATCTATAAGTTTGACATATTTTCAGGTATACTTTATACAACTTTGGATGGAAAGATGTGTTGGCTTCATATTTAATATATCTTATAGTTTTAATCAATGTGGTTATAATTTGATATACTTATTAAGAACTCTCTAAACAAGTTAACAAAACACATCTTCTCATTTTTAGCAATCAACCGTTGATTTGTTAAATTTGAACATTGCCTGCAGATTTGACCACTTTATTTATCGAGCTAATGAATATATGCTTACAAAAAGCTCTAGAAGTTGTTAGTTGGGTAAAAAGGGCCTGAAAGAAGCACTCGGCTGTTTCTAAGAGGGTTTGTTGGGAAGTGGTGGGAAGTCAAAGGTTGGTTAAAAGAGTGTCTTACTGTAGGTAGTCAGTGTATGATGGTGAAACTCATTGTGTTGTCTTTATTAGAATAGTCTGTTATTTACTCTTCTACTCTTCTTATCTTGATATACAAAAAAAGTATGCGCAAATGCTCACCTTTAATATCCTTCAACATGTTATCATAACAAATGTATTCACAGTAATTATAACAATAAATCAATGTGTTGGCCTTAGAGGTATAAAGTTACGTTTTGACTAAATTGTAAGCTAACATTAGCTCAAGTTTTAGCAGATGAACCCAGGGTTAGTGCTTTGCAAAATGTAAAGGAATAATACTCAGAAAATATATATTTCATGAATCAAATACTCACCCCCTTCCATCTGATCACTTTGTAGCTTCCGTCTTCACAGGGGACGGCAGCTGAAGTCACTGACCGTTTCCAGACAGAGTCCTGCTGTATCTACTTCATTTAAAAAACACTCATATTTAGGCTTAAATGGTTGCATTGCTGTTGTTGCTAGCACCCTTAGATGTTACCTTTTTTAGCCCCTAAGAGTCTAAGGATTCCATAAACCTTAAAAATATGTTATTTTATCTTCCATGTTACAAGCATCCTGTTTATCTTAGTTATAACTTATGACTAAGATAAACAGGATGCTAACTGTCTACTGTTACAAAGTGATATTATATTATATATGAAATAATTTACGAACTATAGATATATTTGTGTTATGTATTGTTTTCTCTATATTTTTGAAGCCTCTGGAGGTGTTGGGCATCCTACAGCAGGAGACAGGTGGAGGAGGGTCTGGTTCTGAGCATGCTCATGAGGTTCAAGTTCAGACCGGCTGGGTTGAATTCCTGAAGGTGGGATCCGGAGCTCTGCTGGCAATCCTGGCTCTGCTTTGCCCTGGAGGAGACCCGGTACTGGGCCTTGACGTTCCTCAGAGGGTTGTAGTCTGGACTGATGAGCTCCGGACAGTGGAACACCTCCCTGATGACGGAGCCCTGCTGAGACAGGGCCACAAAGCCGTTCCTGAAGGTCACCATCCTGACAACGGGGGAGTAGACGTACTGGACATACAGCAGGTTTCCTGACAGGAAGAAACAAGAAAATACAAACCGGTGAGTGACAGCCTCTTTATTTCAAAGACCCTCAGATTATCATCACATGGAATAGTCATTTTGATCATGTAAGAAGATTTCTGTATTAGAGTGACCCTCGATGTCCTCTTGGACCTAGAGGCTGTGGTAAACTGAAGTTTTAGCAGCAGTTAACGTAAAGGTCCCATGACATGGCCATTTCTACTGATCATAATTCCATTGTTGAGGTCTACTAGAATAGATTTACATTGTTCAATTTTCCAAACTCACATTGGTTTCTCATACAGCATCTCTGTATAGTGTGTGTATTCACTCTCTGTCCTACACGGCTTGTTGGAGCTCCTGCCCCCCCCCC